CATAAGGCATTAGGCAATCATTATAAAATATGAAATTTACAAAACTAAAAAGCATTTCGACTTATACACTTTAAAACGTTTTTAATGGCTGTGTGTCACTAGGAAAAAAGAAGAAGGTTAAACTCATTTAATGGTTTAGTTGAATAATACAGTGTTTAATTTGTAAGTCGTTAATGTGTATACCACGATAATTTATAGATGGGTTTTTTGTTTAATATATAAGTCGCCTTGATTTAAAACTAGTTGGGTAGATATATTAAATAACTAAAATAACTCTACCCAAATTATGAGTCACTCAACGAATATAATGTTTAGTTTTCATAAATCAGAAACGTCAATTATTTTTTATTTTTACTCAACGTCACTCAAGACTGTGTTGTTAGTTTGATGATATAATCGAAATTTGCAAATTATTTTTAAGTAGAGCATCTAAATGAGATGAACTGGGGAGCTAGGAGACGATAGATTACTCATTCCATTCAAGAAATTATTAAAGCGTCTTTGAATATTATAAAATATTTTTATGAGAGAAAGAATAAAAAGAAACGTTTATTGATTGGGATCTCTCGTTTTCAAGGAAATCGGTGTTACCCCATCATGAAATCTACAGTATATCTTGTCATGTCCTTGCCCTAAAAAGTAAACCTATTTTGTTGTATCATCACCATTTGTTTCATAACTTTTATGTGAATTACAGATTTTTATAAATACTTTAAAAAGCTCATAACTTTGGTTGATACATTTTCTTTTCGTTAGAAAGCCTCTATTTGATTTGATGATATACATATTTTGAATCTGTGTATTTAATTATTTTCTTGATTGAAGTAGTTTTTACAACCATACAGTAAATTCAATACTTCCAAGGGAAATTTGACTCACATTTAAAGTAATAAAAAATAAAATAAAAAACAGTTTGTTTATTGTTTGGTCGTGTTTCCTAGGAGTATTTATTTATTGTTAATATCATTAAATTAAAGTGGGGAGTTCCGTGGAGATTACGGACAAGCGTTAATCGTTTGTTAGAGAGTTAAAACAGTAATTAAATAATTTCGAAAGACATCGGAGTTTGAGTTACTCTAGTTAAATGCAATCTTGTTCTCATCGTCTCATGTTTTGTCGGCAGTTCACATAAATATACGTTTGTTTTTCTTACTATAATATCTTCTTATTTATTTCATGGTTTAAACTTTAAAGATTTTTATTTTATAATTTTGTTGAAGAACAAATATTTCAACTTATCGAACGGACCTTAGTACTTTTATTCAACTTACAGGCTTGATTTTATTTTTCTTCAAAAGTTCTAAAGTAAATCCTCTATAGCGTCGCATGTAAACCATTTAGAAAACTTTGAGGAATGACACCAAGAGTGACGGCGCCGACTCCGAGGGTAAGTAACATGCCATTAGCTTCTTTTTTCGGTTCTATTCAGCAACAAAGAAACAGAAGATAGATACTATTTACAAAGCCAATTTTAAAACTACTTTTATATTCTGATAGGTATCATCAATTGGTAACAATGGAGTATGTGTTTATTCTAAGATCTCAGAGTTGACTAACTGATCTTATTGTAAATCAATAGGGGTGTTTTTGAATCTCTATTTTAATTTTTTATATAGGAAATAACAAGAATAAAAAATGTATAGACATTTATTATTCTATATCTCTAGTTATTTTTTTCTTTCAAATTTTATTATATATTATTTTCAAAACAAAAAAGACATTCAAAAGTTTAAAACCCATGTCTGAACATTTGTGATTAACCTTAGGCAAAATGTTAGAAAATCTCACATAAGCTCTGTATTTTCTACGTGTGATGCAAAGCACTTGAAATACACGAGAAAATAACTGTAAAGAAAGATATGAACTTTTCATACCAAAAAGAGGAGAAAATTATGAACTAGTTATTTTTACTAAAATAAGTAAATATTAAATATTAAATAAAAACGATATTTGTCTGGTAATAAATAAAGACGGCTACCCACTATTTTTTTTTTTGGAGTTTTGCTTTTAAGGTCAACAATGTTCTCCTTCTGAGCTAAGGTTCAATTATTTTTTTAAAAATTTAATGTTTCGTTTCACTCAGCATAATTTATTGGACACAAGTTCTTTTGCCACCAAAGTCTTCTTCTCCTACATTTTTTATAAAGAATTAATCATCCGATCTTTGAAGTGTTATCAACGCGTAATGGACGTTTCCACGTAATATGTGACACTCTGCGAGTTCATTTTTAAGAGACATTTTTGTATCCGAACACTTTTGACATGAATTGAATCAATTTTTATCAACTCACCATTTTGGAGGGGTTTTATATTCCCAAATACTTGTAAAACCTTTTTAATCCAATCTATTTGACAGGGTTTAGAATCTACAATGTTGGTGCTACTTTGAAAATGTTAAGATGTAATAAGGCAACAACACCTTAGTAGAGTGGTCTCTAACTTCGACCAAAACTTTCGTAAATGCGATCAGTACCGATGGCCTATGAAAGAGAAGATACAAACTAAAATGGAGTAATAAATAAATGAGTCTTGACAAAAAAAAAGAGAGTAGATGATATTAAATATCGTTAGCAAAAGTTTGGTAGAAAACTCATTCAAAAAATAATGGCATGTCATGTTCTGTCGTGAAATCAAACACGTGGTGGAGAAAAACTGGTCGGAGATGTCTGAATTAACAGTGTTAGTAGTTAGGGTAACATCCAAGAAAAGTAAAACCAAAGCAAAGAACATTGCTGAATACTTCTGATTTTAGTAACTGCGTATCCAACTCCTTCGTCCTTACTTCACTCTCCTCCATATTAACTGTCAAGGTATCAACATATGTGAATTCAATTTCAAAGGAGAAAATGAATGCAGTTAGACATACTCATAATCTATTTATGGTTTTAAAAAAAATATTTCCAATTAAATTAGAAAAAAAAGAAAGGATAAATAAAAACAAAAATGTTAACATAGGTGATAGAACGGATGAAAACATGATTTTCCTTTTAAAAATCTTTAAAAACAAAATAATACTTCAAATATTCATAATCCTTGTCTGTCTTTGTGAATTTCTCTTCACTTGTAATTGAGTTCTTAACCCGATCAATAGTTTTTATGAAACTTATTTTTATTGATTTTTAATTCATGTTTTGCTTTTACGTTCAAGTTAGATTTTTTGTTTTTGTTTTGAAGACTAGCATTTTAATTTCAATAATTCCACGAAATATTACGTGATCCAAGGAGAAGTATCAAAGTAGGTTGGATTCTAGACTTCTAGGAGTTGTTCGTAGCTGTTCGTAGCTAACCTCCTCCGATTTCCCTCGCTTGGATTTGTATGGTTCTCGCTTCTTTTTATGTTTAAAGAAAAATCATAGTACCCCTTTTAGTTAATTGTTGGGTTTCAATAAATATTTTAAATAAACGATCGTGGGTCTGATCGTCTTTCTTTTTCTTCCTTTTGGTACCTTTTACTCGTCCTTTCGTTTTCATAAAAGATTGAGAGAGAATATGGCTCGTTAAATTTTAAATAGGGCCTGTGAATATCATTTTTTGGACCGTCTATAATTCACCATTTGCAAGGTATATTTTGTAACCAAGATTGCAGTCTTGCAAAGTATATACTAAAACTAAGGTAGAAAAGAATCAATGAAAATATGAAATGATGTCTTTATCCAAACTATTGATGTTATAATGCGTTATCAAATCAGTCAAAAGAATATCTGTTCACCTCTCAATAACCGTCCAATGATGTATATAATAATTGTAGTCACCACTACATCAATGCCACTAAGGTTGCAGAGCTAACCAAAATGTTCATATTAAAATAAACATTTATCGATTGGAAAGTTAACGTATATGCGATCGACAGGCGAATATACAAAATCTGAAAAAGAAAAGACGTATACAGATATGTGTGTGTTATATAGTGTTAGTGTATGTATATGTGTGAGTGTTGTTGTGGGGGAATCTGCAAAGGACGATACAAGGTGGCTGCTTTATTTTTTCTGGCTTTTGTTTTCTTGTCTAAGTGCCTCAAAGCCACATGTAATCTCACATGCCCCGTTACCTCCTTCTTTTTGTTTTTAAAACATATCTCATCAAAATTATCTACAAAAGTTTAAATTTTATTTGAAACTGACAATAATCAATAATTTGTATGCAGTTTTACGACGTAAATAATCATCGCTAAGTTTAGTGATATAAACCAAACAATAATATCAGTGCAAATTATATACGCATACCATAACAATGACGTTGAACATATGTTATTGTGTTGTTGTTTAGTTTTCGGTTTGAAAATCTAAAAGCTCATCATATCTTTCAATCATAAAAAGAAACCTTGTTTTCGTTTTACATTTCCCGATTTAATTGTTAAACTTGGACTTCTAATTCCAAAATCTAGAACAATTCTAAACTAAATGCACATCCGTTTAAACCGAAACTAGTTGGGAAATATGTCAATTGGTTTAATCCTTGCAAAAAACTAATAGTAAAAAAGTGATGTTTGGTGATGTATATTCTCTTTTAGAAAGGAGAGTTGAAGCTATCTTGCATGCAATTTCTTTCCCTTTCTGTGTCAACTTTTGCCGGCCACTCGACGAATATTCCTATTTCTACATCTAACTCTTCCCTAAGCCTTTCAGATTCTATCTATAATTCATTACATTATATTTTTCTACAGTCTTGCTGTTCAAACCTTTCTATTTCTGGCTTACTTTATCTCTTTTTAAAAATATTCCATGATTTAATCATCATTCTCGACACCACTTCAAGTCCATATTTATTGGGCCTACATGTGAAAATATTTAGGCCCAACATCATGTTCATTTTCTTTATCATTGCACACTACTGTTTCGTAGGAAAGATACGAAGGCGACACGTCTATGTCCACGTGTTGCCACGTGTTAATCTGCTAGCTAAAATTCTGAAAGCTTGCTTGATAAGCTTTGATGACCTAATCAAATAGCCTTTAGGATAATAACATGACCAGTGAAGCAGTATCAAACGAATCAGCGACACGAAAAAAGAAGTAAAAATGACGAAACTATTATTGGCCTTGTGTCTCGTCTTGAGTGCGTTACTAACGTTGGGCCACTGCACAGCGTCGGAAGGTGACGTCATCATGAAAGACGGCCACCGTGTTGTTGTGGTGGAGTACGACGGAGACGGGAAAACCAACACCAGAGTCTTGATTTCACCGCCGGGAAAAGGACGAGAAGGAGAAGGAGAAGAAGAAGAGAAGAGGAGAGACGAAAGAGAAGTGTTTAGAAATGTGAAAAAGAAAGTGATAGAAACGGCGTCGTCTCTTCCGGTTATCGGCCAAGTAGAGGAGGAGAGTGAACACCGCGCGTCGCGAGGAGAAGTCATATGCGATGCCGTCGGTAAGTGTAGGCACAAGATGGCAACACTGTTGCGGAGAGGCAACGGTCGAACGGGCAGCGAGAATACTAACGATGCCAAGGAGAAGTTTGCACGTGACGTAGAAGAAACTGTGGGCAAGGAGGCCCAATATGCTGAAGAGAAAGTCGCAGATAAAGCTTATGAAGCTAAGAAAGCGGTGAATGAAAGGGCCATAAAGAAGGCCCATACGGCCCAAAACGTCTGGGGGAATGCACAGCTCACGGTGCGACGGTTAGGAACGGCGGTTGCGGCGGCGCTGACGAAGATCGGGAATGTGGTGAGTTTGATCGGGATCGCGGCGGCGTACGGGATGTGCGTGTGGGTGACGGTGGTGTCGAAGTACTTGTTGGGTTCGGTGCTTGGGAGGCAGCAATTCGGTGTGGTGGAGAGGAAGGTGTATGCGGTGTACTTCAAGGCAATCTCTGCAGGGATTCTGGTTGGGCTGCTAGGACACGTCATTAGCCGGCGGCGGATGGTCTTTACCGATGCGGTGGAGATGTGGCAGGCCGTTAACCTCTTGTCTTCGATTCTGATGGTCGAAGCTAATGCCTCATTTGTTGAGCCACGAGTCACCAAGGTTATTCAAAATTTTCTTATAATTTTTTATTTTAAAAACTCATGACCATCATCTAATAATTATACGAAAATTTTGAGTATATGTATTTTATAATTTTAAAAAACCAAAATTTAATCCATTATATATATGTATACTAATTAATAATTTTGAACATGGTTTACAAATAGTTTGAGACCAACCTTATAAAACCGAAGATATAAATTTAGGAAAATTCATAATTTTGTCACTATGGCTTGAGTGAGATTGTCTATGAACTGCACTTCTCCAATGAATTCACAACTACAAACATTTCAATTCTTAATATAAATACTAAATGCAAACGGAATTAAGACCCTTAGTTTGCCGTTAAAAGAGCAACGTCTGCTTTTTCAACAACGGAAAAAGCAATTTATACAAGAAAGTGGTTTTCTTTCTTTTATTTTTTCTCTGTCAAATCTAAATACAAAGCTTTTGAAAGTTGCGAGAGGAAATCTTATTTAGAGTTTATTTAGCCGATGGATCGCCTGACTGCCTGAGTATTTACGGTTTAATATTCTTAAGAACCAAATTTCGACAAAACTAGGAGAGGATTGTAATAAAAATGTAGATTTGTACCGTGTAATATTGTATTGATTTCTATGTTTCGCTCAACAGGCAATGTGTGAGAGGATAAAAGTGGAAAAGGAAGAAGGGAGAGGACATGGCGCGTCAGAGTCACATTCCAGTGAAGCAGCGGTTCGAACCGGTCGTGAGAAGGTTAAAAAGAAGATAGATCAGCAGAGACTGACGAAGCTGAATGAGAGGCTGAGTCGGTTAAATGGGTACTCGTCGCGGCTAAATTTACTGACACTTATGTCTCTCACTTGGCACTTTGTGTATCTCGGTCATCGACTGAGCCTCACTTGTTGATAAATCGAGACAGCCACTGATACAATTAGTTGTTTTTGTGCTTAAATGTTTGTGTTACATTTCTGATATCTCTTGTGTGAAAAATCGTATTTTTATGCTAATTTTGACGCAAATTTAGATATTATTAAAGGTTACGGACTCAAAGATCTATCTCCATGTCTAAGGAGATTGTAAATGAAGGATTATTTATTTTTTAAGCCTAAGAACCAATCTTCGCATCGAGTTGTACATGCCACTAAAAAATTGGATCCAAACACCCAAAATCGAATAACCGATGGTTAAGCCAGGAGAAAGTAGATGTATATACGTGGTGTTACAATTTCTAACTCGAACATATAATATTAGACAATTGTATTTGCATATAAGATGTTTTATTCATCGAAAGGCTTAAAATTCACAGATGTTGCTGTTGAGGTTAGTTTGAATTTACAGTGGAAGGAAAGATTGGTCTGAAGCTTTGTTATATGAAATGAGTTAAAGACAAGGTTGAAGACTTGGTCTCATGAAGAGGGTTTTGATAGAAGGAGAAAAACAGGAAGACTCAAGATGAGACAGAGGGTTCTGAAGATAAGGACACAAAACACATGTGATTTCTCTCCCTCTGCAACGGCAACAGTACCGTACACTGGATTGATGCACCAAGAGGAGACAAAGAAAGCAAAGCCTGCAACTAACCGCTTGCTCTTGGGATCAAATAAGACAGGAACAAAAGTAAGCGAAAGATACGTACATATAATGTTTTGTGGATGCCATATTGCCATATGGTTTTTTACTTTTTTTATTAAATAGAAATCATAAGATTGAGTGAAATAAACAGAAATAAAAATAAAATAGCAAACATATATGGGAGAAAATCTTCCTTGATAGAAAACAATCTGGGTCATAAACCGAATACAATTAATCCTGACCAAGCCTATAAGCGATGAGATACCAAGAAGGCTTAATAGGTTTACATCATTTAACTTAATCCTTGAAAACAAATCATAAAACAGAACATTCAACAACACTTAGTCCTAAACCAACTTATTTTGTGAACAATTAAAATCCATGAAAATAAAAAAAAACGATACAAGAATTGTTTTTGAAAGGGATAGTTTATTCTTCGTCGATATCGGCTGCTCCTGATTCCAAAGCATCGATTCTCTCTCTGATGACTTTGATCCTCTTCTCAACCACATCAGCTGCTTTAATCAGTTCCTCAGAATAATCAGCATCGTCTATATCTTCAGACGAAGCAATTATTCCAAGTTCCATCGCACGGCTATGAATCTTCTCTTTCTCCAACTTCTTCTCTGCGTCGCTGATCATCCTGTTCATGAGATCCTTCTGGTCCATCATGTATTTGGTCTGTTTCTCCACAGGCAGTGCACTTAACCGGTTAAGAAGGACACGAACCTCCCTCTGGTTTGGCCACACCTCAGGGCCTTCCTTGTAATCGCTGTAGATGATGGCGCAAGCGCGTAAACCACAAAGAATGGTCAATTCGTTGAGCTTCTTCAACAGACCATCTTTGCGTTTCCTGAACGTAACTCGGCGAGTGGAGCTGTCAGAAATCAACTGGTGTGTTACTTTTCTTCTGCCCATGGTGAAAAAGCAAAAGGGAAGAAGAAGAAGAAGAAGAAAAAGAAGAGGAGAAGGATTTGTGTGTGTTCAAGGACCAGATGTGGGTATAATGTTTATATAGAGTTTCTAAGTTTGATTTTTTGGCTCGGTCCATACAGAGGTTTCAACAAATTATAGAAAGGTTTTTAAGGAAAAAGTACATATGGAGGTTTATGGAAAAAATAGCTATAAAATCTTTCTAAATAAGAAGATTTCTAACTGAAGAACATTTTCATTTTATTATGTGTCTTGTCTTGGCTGGTCTAGTGAATCTACTAAAGAGGAAGGTAATATTTGCCTATTAACACCCCATAAATGTATTTGCAATAAGAACAAAAATTTGAACTTTTTTCTGACTACTTATAGACTCGTATTTACATAAATTCACACGTATTACTGTATAATATATATATAGTCTTGTACTATTTCACAGCATATTATTTCACATATGTCAATCTGAATAATGATAAGTTTTAAATAAAATAATAATGCAATAATATAAAATGATAGTATATTTTTTATAACATAGAAAGAGATCAAAACACGGATGTGATCGTATTTTTTTATAAGATTTAGAAAGAAAAAAAATAGTAATGCCAATCTGGCATACATATCATATTTGAATGAAAATATAGTAAAGAAAAAAATCAACAGCGCACATTATATATTAGCGTGTAAAACTTATCTTAAAATAAAATAGCATTTTCAAATTTATTTTTTCTGTTTATAACTATATAACTAGGTAATAACATGCGCCATGCGCTGGATAATAAATCTATAAATAATTCTATTAATGTTTTAAAATTATTTAAAATGATAATAAATTAATTATTTTATGTGTATATAATAAATATGAGTAACAATAATATTTATTTATAAATTTTATAATTAATTTTAATATTATTTTTATATGAATATAACTACATGTATAGTGTAACCCATAAAAACTATGGTCGTAGAAGCATCAATATTAAAATCAAGTTTTGTGCTTTTAGTCATTTTTATTTTTATATTTCATATATTTTATATATTTTTTTAACTATCTACATCTTCTCATTTCCAATATGCGACTTTTAAAATATATTTATATTCATCATTCGAGTAATTTATATTTGTTTTTACAAGTTTAAATTATAACACATGTACAATATATATATATATATATATATTATGTAAATGATGAGATTTTGTTTTTATAAAATAAGCTTAAATAAAAGCAAGATAAAACCCATAGTGTAAGAAAATAATTAATATGATGTTATTTTGCTAAATAATAGTATATAACAATATCTTTATAATTAATTACAAAATTTTATATATAATTGATATATACAATGGTCTAAACAATTAGTATGAATGGCACATGATGTAATTATTCTATTAATAAAAGTCTTTTTAAAAAAAATTCTGAAAAACTCTATGATGATGACACATCAAAAAACTGACACCATTGTAATTACTTACAAAAATAGGATTAGTCTTTAAAATGCTTCTTAATTAATAGTATTTAACATATGTCAGTTTGAATAATGATAAGTTTTAATTAAAATAAATAATGAAAAAACTCTAGTGAACAATTATATAAAATGATAATACATTTCTTATAACATAGAAAGAGATCAAAACACAGATGTAATCGCATTTTTCTATACAATTTAGAAAGTAAAAATAGTAAAGCTAATCTGGCATACATATCATATTTGTATGAAAAAATAGTAAAGAAATAAACTAACAATGTACATTGTATGTTAGCGTGTGAAACTTATCTTAAAATAAAATAGCATTTTAAATTTATTTTTTCTGTTTATAACTATATAACTAGGTAATAATCCGCATCATGCGCATGATAAGAAATCTAAAAATAATTTTTCTAATTATGATTTTAAAATTATTTAAAATGAAAATAACTTAATTATTTTTGTGTATATAATAGATTTGAGTAAAGATACTGTTTTTTATAAATTTTATAATTAATTTTAATACTATTTTTATATGAATGTAATTACATGTGTAGTGTAACTCGTAAAAATCACGGTTGTAGAAACATCAATATTTAAATCAACAGTTGATATCTGTTAAATCAAGTTTTGTGCTTTTAGTAAATTGACGTCATTGTAATTACTTACAAATTAAGCTTAGTCTTTAAAAATTATTCTCAATTAATATATAAATTTTTTTAATATAAACTCGTATTTACATAAATTCACACATGTTACTGTATAATATATATACAAGTAGTCTTGTACTATTTCAGAGCATAGTATTTGACATATGTCAGTCTGAATAATGATAAGTTTAAACTAAAAAAGTAATGTAAAAATTTTAGTGAACAATTATATAAAAGGATAGTATATTTTTTATAATATAGAAAGAGATCAAACCACAGATGTAATCGCATTTTTTTATACGACTTAGAAAGTAAAAATAGTAAAGAAAATAACTGGCAGCGTACATTGTATGCTAGCGTGTAAAACTTATCTTAATATAAAATAGTATTTTCAATTTTTTTCCTGTTTATAACTATATAACTAGGTAATAAACCGTGCCATGCGCATTATAAGAAATCTATAAATAATTCTAGTAATTATGGTTTTAAAATTATTAAAAATTAAATTAACTTAATTATTTTTGTGTATATAATAGATATGAGTAAAGATAATATTTTGTTTTATAAATTTTATAATTAATTTTAATATTATTTTTTATATGAATGTAATTAGATTTGTAGTTTAATCTGTAAAAACCACGGTAGTAGAAACATCAAGATTTGTAATTAAAATGATGTTATTTTTGATAAAGAATAGAAAGAAAAAGAATATTTTTATAATTAAATGCTAAATTATATATATAATTGATATAAAATATGGTCTAAAAAAATTAATATGAGTGACACATGTTGTAATTATTCTATTAACAAAAGTTTTTTTTCAAAAAAATCATGAAATGTTTTATGATGATGACACATCAGCAAAATAACACTATTGTAATTATTTACAAAAATAAAGTTAATTTTTAAAAATACTACTCAATTAATATATAAGAGATAATTTGTTTTTTTTGATGTTTTGTATTGTAATAATTTTTTGTATTCTAATTCTCTTTAATAAAATATAGTCGACAACAAAGACTTGCTATATTAAAAACATACAAATTTCTCCAAGCTCAAGCTTTAAAGTTTAAACACAAGGTATATAATTCGCGCTACGCGCGAATCTGTATTAATATTTTGGTTTATTTTTTTATCTACTATCTTTAAAGTTATTAAAAATTATATATATTTATAGAAATTTTCATTTATATAAGAGATTTTAGTATATAATGTGTAATTTATCCAATTTTATTTATAAATTTTAAAAAACTATTAGGTAAAGTAATAACAATGACACCTATCGAATTATCCAACTTTGACGTAGATATACATTTGATTTAGAGAAATATAATCTTGCTAAGATTTTGATATTATTTTTTTGTTTTCCATAGAATTTCTATAGTTCTTTTTTTTCTTTAAGGTTTATGTGTTCAAATATTTAGTTTTTTTTTTAAGTCTTATTGATGTTGTGTACCATTGTATATATAATCCATGATTCATGTTGATTCACATTTTATTTTGTTAGGAAACTGTAATGATCATGCAAAACCATTTTTTCCTTCTCCATCATGTCTTTCAAGAGTTTTATGTTATATTTTGTTCAGTTTTTATTGTTTTAATTGTTAAATCGAGTTGTTGTAGATTTTTTTAAAATTATAATTGATAATGGTTACTTTTTTTTATACATGTATTGTTAATTGTTAATTTTTTATTTAACTTTTAAATTTTTAAACCACATTAACATTTTCTGATTTAATAAATATGTTGATTGGGATCAATCAGACTGAATTTACTTTTTTGTTAGACATAATTTGTTAAATTAACTTTTAAAGTTTTAATTATACTTAATAATTTTTGGTTTGATTTAACAGCTGATGTTGACCAATTACATCAAGTTTTTCTGTTTTAATCATACTTAACATTTTTTATTTAATGAATATGCTGATGTGAACCAATCATATCGAGTTTTTTATCCCATGTGGACGCCCTTAATGCACTATGCCATCAACTTTTATATATTATACTGGGTATATAACTCGCGCTATGCGCGAGTTTGTATTAATATTTTGGTTTATTTTTTTTAGCTACTATCTTTAAAATTATTAAAAATTATATATATTTACAGAAATTTTCATTTATATAACAGAATTTAATATATAATGTGAATTTATCTTATTTTTATTTATAAATTTAAAAAAACTATTAGGTAAATTAATAACTATGCCACCTATCGAATTATCCAACTTTGACGTACATATACATTTGATTTAGAGAAATATAATCTTGCTAAAATTTTGGTATAATTTTCTGTTTTTCATAGAAATTCTATAGTTCTTTTTTTATTGAAGGTTTATGTGTTCAAATATTTAGTTTTTTATTGAAAGTTTTATTGATGTTGTGTACCACTATATATATAATACATGATTCATGTTGATTCACATTTAATTTTGTAAGGAAGTTGTAATGATCATACAAAACTATTTTTTCCTTCTCCATCATGTCTTTCAAGAGTTTTATGTTATATTTTTATTTAATTTTTATTATTTTAATTGTTAAATCGAGTTGTTGTAGATTTTTTTTAATTGATAATTGATAATGGTTATTTTTTTATACATGTATTGTTAATTGTTGATTTTTTTATTTAAATTTTAAATTTTTAAACCATATTAACATTTTCTGATTTAATAAATATGTTGGTTTGGATCAATCAGATTGAATTTACTTTTTTTGTTAGACATAATTTGTTAAATTAACTTTGAATGTTTTAATTATACTTAATAATTATTTGTTTAATTTAAAAGCTGATGTGGACCAATTAAATCAAGTTTTTTCGTCATAATCATACTTAACATTTTTTATTTAATGAATATGCTGATGTGGACCAACTAGATCG